TTTACAATTTTCATATAACAAATTCCAAGACCTAATCTTCAGATCATTAGCTAATATTCTCTCAAACATTATCTCTTACTATTTATGCATTAGGTAGTAGATACATCAAAATCCAAAAGGTTTCGCAACATCTTTTGTCTAGTGTGTTGATGTTCTCATTCCAATTGAAATTTGGCATGGCGTAATATAAACTGGTATTGGAATTTCTCCACATTTTTTTGGATTGCCTATTAACTTTCTCAAAATCTAAAGTTTATAGTATAATACGTGTTGCAATTAATTCTAGAAGAAAAGATTTGCAGAAAATAGTGCCACTCCCCTTGTATGGAAAATAGGAAATAAAAAATGTTCAGAAAGGCAGCCCGTTGCTTCAGACCTTGAATTGTCATCAGAAGAAAATGCTATGTCAGATAAACCTTTGTGAACAGAATAACCATGAACACTGAGAGTAGGTCTCTTTCTCAGCACCTGTATGAAAAATTGCAAGAAATACATTATAAAGCAATTACAAAATTTTACGGCTTACTAATAGCAGATTTTATAATGGATAAAAAGAACAGATGTCAAATATGTCAATAGAGTTTAGTGATACTGTTGTTGAATAAAAATCACGTGTTCCGTGTCTCATGAGATATAAGAGCCTTACATCTTTTGGAGTTCTTATCCATGTTCTTATCTTTCAGACTAATAAGCAAACCATTCAACCAATCTATAAATTGATGCTACTAAGAGTTCTAATAAAGATTTCTGATAACAGGGATAATCCCAAAGTAATTCTCACTTCTCTTGTCCCTCACATGGGAAGAGGCGAAGAAGAGCTCTAGCTCTCACTTGAAGTAATTACACAAGGCATTTCACACTCGTTTTTTGGGGGAACACACCAACTTCTATACAGAGAAGATCTTTAACAAATTAACCTTTATCAGCCATATTAATGCCAATATACATTCATGATAAGTATGTCCTCTGATTATGTCTGACTGGCATTCCCTATGAAGTTGTTCGCATGCTGTATACCCTTCAGCAACTAAATACAGATGTGAAATCTGAATAAAAGTTACTAGTGTAGTTCTAACTAACACATGAGCTACATAGTGGGTTAGCATGTCAAGGGAGATTTATCTTGTACTACATTATCAAGTAAAGAAGGTGCAACAATAGGAAAAAAAACTACTGTGCTCTTCTCCACAACAATGTTTGTACAATTATGCCTAGGCCCTTTCATGTGAAAAAAAATGTCTGCTTTAGGTCATGAATTCATTTTGCTTTGAAATAGAGAGGCAACAATCCTTCTTAATCTTTTCCACAACAAAGCACATTGTTTGGATGTTAAAGAAATGCAGAGTGAAAGAGACACTAAAAAGGAATTCAGTTTGTGCTTTTTCTTAGAAGCGGAAAGTACTAATTTGACTCCCAAGAGCAAAATGCCTGCAGGATCTTCATCTGATGAAAATTAGGTTAGTTTCAATGATGACAAATAGAAAAGATACTTACTTCAACTGGTTCGAGAGATGTATATCCAATGTCAAAAATATAAACTTCGCTACTTTTTGTTGACGTGCAGGCAACCTGCAAGGTAACACAAAACTCAAATTAAATGCAGAATACAAGGAATCATAATGGTGCAATGAATGATCACAAGGACATTCAATGAAGGTATAGTTTTTCAATACGAACAGTACAAATATTCTTATCCCTGCTTCATATAGTGTACCTCACTACAGCCATGTCCACAAAGAGACCTTCGTACTTATGACTAATATGACAGTTAAAAGTTGAAATCAACTTGTGCTTAAGCAACTAAAGGAAAAGTAAAAAGTTTAGATACTTGTGTTAAGGAACTGTTGAATTAATTGATATAAAAGATTAAGCTTCACAATATTTAATTTTTTTCCTATTAGAGTCTGACACGTGAACTAATTCATTTAATTGGGCAGCATCGAGACTTTAACCTAGGACATCTAACATCATGTTGAACCACTCAGTTTAAAAGCTCAAGTGGTTAGAGAGAACCACATGGATCATTGAACTAGTGTTTGCAACACAAATAAATACATACTGCAGGATTCAATTTTTCGGATTAAAGCCTTGCACAATTTCATTTAAATGGGTAGTGATGAGACTTGAACCTAGGACCTAATACCATGTCAAACTACTTGATCTAAAAGCTTAAACTGTTACATAGAACCACATGTATATTATTTAGATATTGTCTTCAACACGAACATATACAAATGTTCATTGCCACGTTCTACTTCATCAAAAGAAATACTTTAGCCCTTTGATTTGAAATTAATGTCTGGTTCAAAGGTTAGCAAACAGCTAAGATTATTTTGTTCTTAAATAGTTCTATAAGGAGAATTTGGGAGAAAATGTCACACTTTCTTGCTAGGGACACCTTTTTAGATGACTATCAGACAGTTCCATACCAAGAACTTACATGTACTAAGATGTAATATCATTCCAACATGTTAAGTACGAAAAACCAATTTATATTTCAGGGACTCTAACAATAATTCGTGTTAGAGATAGATTTAGCAAATGAAATAAGTTGTGGCATTTAAAAAATTCAATCATAAGTGGTAGAAAGTGTTTTAACTTGTAGATTAGACATCATTATGAGCAGAATGAAAGTTGACCTCATCTTGGTTAGCACGGTTCCACCGGATGACGTCAAGCTGCTGACGTGTAGGAATGTGCAACAATTGCTTTACTTCATCTTCTTCCAAATCTAATGATATTGAACCCATCAAAAGATTTATTAGATAAAGGACATTTAGAAATTCTTCACTATCACAAAAGAGAGATAAATGAGAATAAAAGAACAGCAAACCCATTTATCTTCCTAAATACAAAATATATTTCGTTATAGGAAAAAAAATTGAATTAGCTAAAAGGAGATTCGTCTTAATTCAAAAGACATCATGATAGAATAGTAGAATAATATGACAGATCCATATGACTAGATGAAGTAACAAAATAAAATAAAATAAAATGTGGTATATTTATCAAAAGACTTAACCTCAGGATGAGCATTTGCATAGGAAAATCATCCCTGGAGGCTGAATGTCATATACATATAATATGATATGGTGATAGGTTTTTTTTTATTTATTTTTAAACAAAGTACAGAAATATATCAGCAAGAGAGAACAACTCATTAGAAGTCCCAATATAACACAGCCTGCATAATAAGTTACTTGAAGATCAGGAAAAAGACAAAAAAAGAAGAAAACCTCAGATTGGTATAACTCATTACCTGGGTGATAAAGATAATCAAAGTCATGCACAGTTAAGCAACCTGATTTTGTTACCGATGCCAGGTATACTCCCTATCAAAACAAGGTAATCATTCATAGTCCCAACTATTTATCTGAGAACGGTTACTGGATACTATAAGCCTTATATCCTGATAGCAGAGAAACTTGAGACCTATCTTTGCGAAAATATATACATCAATAAATTTGTAACAAAAATCCATCTATTATGAGGCAATCGTTTTTGTAGTTAAAAAGTTCACTGTACCAAGGGAAACCCAAAACATACAATATGAACATTATGAGATAATCATGGAGTGAATTTTTTACTTAAGCTTGCCTTGAATCATGACTTCAGGATTTCTATAAATGTTTGGTGTAAATTCTAAGTCATCACTTCGTCGTCAAGCCAAGCTTTTCCTACATTCGAGTGACTTACCAAAAATCTCCTTTTGAGCAGTATAATTATTCTTAATCCTAACAAATAAAATAGCAACGAAATTATTTTTTTCTTCTGAATATAATAGGATTATAATTGAATTGTCATGCAAGAAAACTGAAGCAGAGAAGAAACTAATCTACACTTCAAACACTAGCAACTCAACAAGAATCACGGCAATCACCTTGGAGTCAAATTCAAGTGATGTAACACCCAGCCTGAGAAAAATGAAAATTATAATTGGTCAAACAAAAATTATGAGCAGCAAGATAAGTAACGTAACATTAAAGGAAGCAGGACGTTTTTTAAATCAAAACAGGTAAAATAAATCCGTGCAAGTACTATTCATTCAATTAGTCAAAAGGCTATATGTATAGTATACATGGAGATGTTTCTGCACTAGATTAATAACATGCACAGTAGCACCCCGGCATAAATATATCAGTTTTAACTAATGATCAATTTAAAAATCATAATTTGTAAATAAATAGATAGAAAAATTAACCTGCTGTTTACACTTGGGTTATTATTCAATCCAGCATTTGAAAACCAATCAACCTGTGTAACAGCTCTATTAGCACACACTACTTCAAATTCATGATTTGAAAAAAATAATTAAAAAAAAAACAGTTCTTCATTAAATTCTTCTAATTTTGTTACTTAAAAATAAACATCATAACAAATAAGAACAAAAATAAATAGAGGACATAAAATTTGATACATGGGTGCGGCATGGTTCCCCGTCAATGTGATACGTATGAGGATAGATTCCAATCTTTCGACATTTCCCGGGAAAATTCAAAAAATAAAATTAGTTTAAGCAAATTCAATATATAATTAACTGAAAAAATTTACACAAAAATGTAATGAATACCTACCTCAGAATAGGACTGCGTTAAAAGACAAGTAATGTCATGACGATAATCTGGTTCAAATTTTCCGGTAATTTCAATTAGACTTCTCTTCCAACGACGCCTGAGATTACATGTTTTTTTCTTTTTTAATATTGTTTATCTAAAAATTTAGTGAATATGAAACCGTGAGTAAAGCTAATTTAGGGCTCGTGGAGAAAAAAAATATTACCTGCTTATGGATTTTGGATTTTGCGCAGATGGGTTTTTTACAGTGACTAAGTACTTTTCCATGGGATGAAATTTAACAGAGTTTTCTTCCTCGGATTCTTCTCCTCCTCTCAGAGCAAAACAAACACTGAGTAACTGTGAATTTTCCCGCCTTCTTCATCATTTTGTGGATTAGGTTGAAGGTATGGATTTGAAACCCCCGCCAAAAGGTACAAAAAGCATTTAGATGGAGCTTTTGTTTCGTGTGTTCATTCCTACCAATTTAGCCCAGTTTGATGGCCATTCATTAACGGCCTGTTTTGACACCCATTATTATTCTATTAAAAAAAGAAAGAAAAGAGCTTTGAATAGTAATTTTTTGAAAAATGTGTGGTTAAATATATGGAAAAAATTTTGGTATATATGTAAAATATTTTGTTGCGTGAACGTGATGTCAAGTTGACCTCATCTTGGTTAGCACGGTTCCACCGGATGACGTCAAGCTGCTGACGTGTAGGAATGTGCAACAATTGCTTTACTTCATCTTCTTCCAAATCTAATGATATTGAACCCATCAAAAGATTTATTAGATAAAGGACATTTAGAAATTCTTCACTATCACAAAAGAGAGATAAATGAGAATAAAAGAACAGCAAACCCATTTATCTTCCTAAATACAAAATATATTTCGTTATAGGAAAAAAAATTGAATTAGCTAAAAGGAGATTCGTCTAATTTCAAAAGACATCATGATAGAATAGTAGAATAATATGACAGATCCATATGACTAGATGAAGTAACAAAATAAAATAAAATAAAATGTGGTATATTTATCAAAAGACTTAACCTCAGGATGAGCATTTGCATAGGAAAATCATCCCTGGAGGCTGAATGTCATATACATATAATATGATATGGTGATAGGTTTTTTTTTATTTATTTTTAAACAAAGTACAGAAATATATCAGCAAGAGAGAACAACTCATTAGAAGTCCCAATATAACACAGCCTGCATAATAAGTTACTTGAAGATCAGGAAAAAGACAAAAAAAGAAGAAAACCTCAGATTGGTATAACTCATTACCTGGGTGATAAAGATAATCAAAGTCATGCACAGTTAAGCAACCTGATTTTGTTACCGATGCCAGGTATACTCCCTATCAAAACAAGGTAATCATTCATAGTCCCAACTATTTATCTGAGAACGGTTACTGGATACTATAAGCCTTATATCCTGATAGCAGAGAAACTTGAGACCTATCTTTGCGAAAATATATACATCAATAAATTTGTAACAAAAATCCATCTATTATGAGGCAATCGTTTTTGTAGTTAAAAAGTTCACTGTACCAAGGGAAACCCAAAACATACAATATGAACATTATGAGATAATCATGGAGTGAATTTTTTACTTAAGCTTGCCTTGAATCATGACTTCAGGATTTCTATAAATGTTTGGTGTAAATTCTAAGTCATCACTTCGTCGTCAAGCCAAGCTTTTCCTACATTCGAGTGACTTACCAAAAATCTCCTTTTGAGCAGTATAATTATTCTTAATCCTAACAAATAAAATAGCAACGAAATTATTTTTTTCTTCTGAATATAATAGGATTATAATTGAATTGTCATGCAAGAAAACTGAAGCAGAGAAGAAACTAATCTACACTTCAAACACTAGCAACTCAACAAGAATCACGGCAATCACCTTGGAGTCAAATTCAAGTGATGTAACACCCAGCCTGAGAAAAATGAAAATTATAATTGGTCAAACAAAAATTATGAGCAGCAAGATAAGTAACGTAACATTAAAGGAAGCAGGACGTTTTTTAAATCAAAACAGGTAAAATAAATCCGTGCAAGTACTATTCATTCAATTAGTCAAAAGGCTATATGTATAGTATACATGGAGATGTTTCTGCACTAGATTAATAACATGCACAGTAGCACCCCGGCATAAATATATCAGTTTTAACTAATGATCAATTTAAAAATCATAATTTGTAAATAAATAGATAGAAAAATTAACCTGCTGTTTACACTTGGGTTATTATTCAATCCAGCATTTGAAAACCAATCAACCTGTGTAACAGCTCTATTAGCACACACTACTTCAAATTCATGATTTGAAAAAAATAATTAAAAAAAAAACAGTTCTTCATTAAATTCTTCTAATTTTGTTACTTAAAAATAAACATCATAACAAATAAGAACAAAAATAAATAGAGGACATAAAATTTGATACATGGGTGCGGCATGGTTCCCCGTCAATGTGATACGTATGAGGATAGATTCCAATCTTTCGACATTTCCCGGGAAAATTCAAAAAATAAAATTAGTTTAAGCAAATTCAATATATAATTAACTGAAAAAATTTACACAAAAATGTAATGAATACCTACCTCAGAATAGGACTGCGTTAAAAGACAAGTAATGTCATGACGATAATCTGGTTCAAATTTTCCGGTAATTTCAATTAGACTTCTCTTCCAACGACGCCTGAGATTACATGTTTTTTTCTTTTTTAATATTGTTTATCTAAAAATTTAGTGAATATGAAACCGTGAGTAAAGCTAATTTAGGGCTCGTGGAGAAAAAAAATATTACCTGCTTATGGATTTTGGATTTTGCGCAGATGGGTTTTTTACAGTGACTAAGTACTTTTCCATGGGATGAAATTTAACAGAGTTTTCTTCCTCGGATTCTTCTCCTCCTCTCAGAGCAAAACAAACACTGAGTAACTGTGAATTTTCCCGCCTTCTTCATCATTTTGTGGATTAGGTTGAAGGTATGGATTTGAAACCCCCGCCAAAAGGTACAAAAAGCATTTAGATGGAGCTTTTGTTTCGTGTGTTCATTCCTACCAATTTAGCCCAGTTTGATGGCCATTCGTTAACGGCCTGTTTTGACACCCATTATTATTCTATTAAAAAAAGAAAGAAAAGAGTTTTGAATAGTAATTTTTTGGAAAACGTGTGGTTAAATATATGGAAAAATTTTTGGTATATATGTAAAATATTTTGTTGCGTGAACGTGATGTTGAAAATGATTTTGTAACAAACCATAAAATAAATTAATTGTTGTCAAATAGGCTCTTAAAAAAGAGCTTTGAATAGTATTTTTAGCTGAATGTGTGGATAAAGAGTAAGGTAAAAATTTAACTACAGAATATTTTATTATATAAATGTATGGTAGAAAATGACCCCGTTTGATTTTGATTTTTCAAGCCAAAAAATCAATACTTTGACTGTTATCTAATATATTCAACCGATTTTTTTATTTCTTCACTCATAGATGGAATCCACTTTTCTCTCTAATAGTAAAAAAAATAAAATTATGAATCAATACCAAACAGGCCCTTAATTACTTAATATATCGATCACTTTGCACTACGGATGTCAAAAAAACCCACTCGCCCTCGTTTGCAGAGAATTGAGGTAGGGATGGGATAAATGGTCCATCCTGGACTGTGACTTTATAGCTTGTTTGGTATAACTATTAATCCAATTAAAATTAATTTTTTGATCCTTATTTCACTATTTCAACCGTCATTTTTGAATTCTTCTCTCACGTGTAGGACCGACTTTATTTTTAATGGTCAAAAAATTAATTATCAAAATCTCTACCAAACAAGCAGTTAATTTTATATATATATTTGAAAAATATATATATGTGTGTGTGTGTGTGTGGCTCAAACAACAGCTAATCTTCCTCCATCTCAACCTTCCATAAATCCTAGCACATTAGACGGAAAGGCCACCCAATTTTGCTCATAGACAAAAAATTAACGGCATCATGATGCTTGTTTGGTAATAAATTAGCACTTAGGTGACCTTTAATACGATGTTTCATCTTCAATTTTTGAGTCAAAAGATCGTGGTATGCAATAAGATTTTAAGTGATTATATTGACGTTATAATTTCTTAGAAGTTTACATATCTCAATTGCCACTGCACTTTTCAAAACATTTCTCAATTGTTAACCGAACTAAATAATGTTTGGATCAGTTCGGAGCGGGATCATACTGATTTTCAACCAACTTTTATAAACTTGGCAGCATAACCACCATCATCCACACCATACCACTATCATCCACACCATAGACTGGTTCTGTCACATATATGCGCCATCACCACCATCATATATTAGCAAATCACATACCTCCACCATAAATCATGTTACATGTTTGCACACTTGGGCAACCCACCGGGGCCCACAACCAACTCATGCCGAATCACGTGGCATTGGAGCCGAGGTGATTTGCATAGACAAGACCCTCCAACCGAGGTCGACAGATGCCTATGCCAATATATGCCGAGACCCATATATTAGCCTCTTCTGAAACTTCTGACGCCCTTCGTGCCGAGGCTCATATACCGAGGTCATGTGAAAGTAGCCAAAGCCCTGAAGCCGAAGCAGAAGCCTCCAAACCATAAAGGAGCATCTTCCATGATCACTTCTCCCAAGAGATCTTCTGCATAAAGATCTTACTTTAATGATTGATAGGACGTTTACCATAAGTATAAATGTTAAATCTTATCACTAGTATGGGGGTTCTGCATAGACAATAAATGCGCAACAAGCTAGGTAGTCATGGATGATACCTGTGATTAGACGTTTAAGCTAAAGAGATGAGGTCACGTGCCACCTCATCCAGGGGCTACCATTTCACATGTACCACTATAAATACTCCCCCATGTACCCCATAGAAAGGCTAATGCAAGAATCAATACAAAAAATCACACTTTACTCTCTCTTTCTTATTATCTTGCAACACAATACGAATTTACGCATATTTACATACACATTCACAAACGCCGATTGGTAATTATTATACAATCGATCCACGAACAATCCCGTCGAATTTCGAACGCTCTCGTCCTGCGCCGTTAAGCTACTCCCACGCCCTTGATCTTTCCGTTTTAGACCGTCCACGTATCTTAGCGTGTTAGACTTTCGCTCACATGTGTGCGGGTGGATCCGACATCTATTGGCAATATTTTTTGAGGTCAACAGATTAGCGTCGTCTGTGGGAAGCCTCGGCATGGCCCAATCATCCACCGTATTGGGAAGCGTCGTTACCTCGAAGGAGAGGCCAGCGTCCCATCTCTGGGCCACCTCGTTTGAACTCCGAGATGCATGCACTTGCCTCCCTTTGGCGAGGCTGAATGCCAATGGGAGAAACCTCAATATGGCTGAACCATCCACCATGTTGGGAAGCGTCGTCATCTCGGAGGAGAGGCCAGCGTCCCATCTCTGGGCCATCTCGTTTGAACTCCGAGATGCATGCACTTGCCTCCCTTTGACGAGGCTGAATGCCAATGGGAGAAGTCTCAACATGGCTGAATCATCCATCATGTTGGGAAGCGTCGTCACCTCGGAGGAAAGGCCAGCGTCCCATCTCTGGGCCACCTCGTTTGAACTTCGAGACTCTGGGAGGCCTCAACAAAACAAACTTTTATACCCATTGATTCATAAGGCTCAACAACTACTAGCTTCACGCAACTACCTTTCAAATCAGACAGCAATATTCCCAGTTCGGCTGAAACATGGTCCAGTCACAATCCATTCAGGTTACAGTTATTAAGCTTAAGTATAATTCATTTGCTTAAATCCAATATTGGTCATGGCTCGTGAGGCTTGCATATAATTTACTTGCTCAAGTGATTAGAGTTAGGATACCAAGTGAAAGTTATTTAGTTCTTCAATCAACATTAAGTTCAATTGCTTGACGAAGCCAATGCACTTAGGAGAAAAACAACTTTGAATGAAAGAATATATTATTTTGATTTTCAATCAAGATTACAAAGGGGGGCTTGGGACGATGATGGAAGTGCCCCTGCTACTTCATCTCCAACCGCTTCATCAGCTAGGATTTGAAGTACTTCATCGATAAACTTCGACCTCAGTTGTGACAGGTCTTGATTTGGATAGAGTTCCTCAGCCCTCTCCATCATCTCGACATAAGCATAATTTTTCTAGTAGGCGCTAAAGCCCTTGTACTCCTCGGTATTGTGGAAGTTGGCAATGTAGTCTTTCACCGCCTCCTCCCTCGCCACATTTGCTTCTTCCTTTGCCGTGGCCGCTTCATCAACATACCACTTTATTTGGCCCTCCAAGAACTTGTACGCATCTTGGGCCCCAGCTAGCTCCAAGTTTGCCTTCTTCAAGACTTCGGCAGTCACCTTCTGGTGGTTATTGGAAACTTCCACTTTCTTAGTTAAGGAGGTCACCTCGCACTGGGACTCATACACCTCTTTCTTCAACGCCTCGATCTGAGCCAAGGCAGACTCCAGGTTGCCCGCATCTTCAAATTTTTGGGCCCTCGCTTCCTCTGCCTCGGCTCGAGCTCCCTTCAGCTCCTCTTCAAGGGAGGCCATCTTCTTTTCAGAGGAATGGGTCCTCGTTTAAAAGCCAGTAAGGGCATCCCTGCACTCCAGTGCGAGGCCAAAGGTCCTCACACTTTGGCGCACGAGGGCCCTTGTCAAGTCCGTGGTGTCACATGAGTCGGCATGCAACTACCACCGATCTATCCAGAATTTGTAGAAGCTTTCTGTAGCACTTCGAATTTCAGGTGGCAGAGCCTCCACCAAAGCTGGAGCCAGAACTTCCTCCCTTCCGGTAAAGAAGCTCGGAGACTTCCCTTGGGCCCTCGCAGGCCTCTACTTGGCGGCCTCATCCTCTGCCGTCTCAGCTGCTTTCCTCACAGCCTCTTCCTTAGCCTCCTCAGCCTCGACTCGTCAAACCATTTCAATCTTTACCGCTTTCGAGGCGGCTTCAAGGAGCTTCGAGTGAGTGACTTCTTTGCCTTTATGGGACACAGAGGTCTCGAACTTTCCTGACGAGCTGGTGACGTGCACCAGCTTCCTCTTCTTCTGCTCCTCGGGGACCTTCTCCTTCCTTGAGGCTCTTCGACCTTCTCCGGCCTCTGAGGTGTCCCCTCTTTGGGAGCCCTTGAACTGCTATCTTTAGAAAGGCGCTCGACCCTGCCCCGAACCTCTTTGGCACCAGTCGATTCAGACTTCAGGGGCCTCGCCTTCACAATGGATGTGGCCCTAAGTATAGAGGCCATATTAGGGGCTAGGTATTCCTTCCTCTTGGACTTGTCTGCAGAACACGTTAATGCATCAGCATCAAAACAAAAAGCAAGAAATACACAAGTATAAGAGCTTCTTACCCTTGGAGGCCATCAGTTCAAAATCAAGGAAGTAGCGACTTCGACCGATGAGGAGGTCAAAGTGGCGAAGCTTCAAAGGTCTCTTGTAAATGTCCTCTATCACTTCAAACTCCTTCTTGCTCAACTCGAATCTCGTACTGCTATCTGTAAAGGAAGCCTCAACAGTTAGAAAAAGAAATTTGAATACAGAATACAAACTGTTTAGGCTGGGAAACTCACGAGCTTCGTAGTACTGGGTCAGTACTGTACAAGCCAGGGCTGTGTCCCCCTCCATCGCCTGCCACCTGTCCCTCATCCAGAACCACGACTCCTTCCACCCCTTAATGGAAGAAGGCAACCCACCACAAATGGTGCATGAGCCCCCCAAGGAGTTAAGTAATACCACTTCCTTAACTCCTTACCTATTATCCTAGGCTGGAATAGGGTCATGAAGACGTGTGGAGAGACATGTCCTCCCCAAGTGACACTTCCTTTCATAGGTAGTACGAGCCAACAAACTAGCTCCACTCATTTGGCAGAACCTGGGCCGACGACAACATAAAGTTTCTCAGCACTGCCCTGAAGAAAAGGTGCAGAGGAAGACGCATACCTGTCTTAAACAGGTACTCGCTCACCACCACGCATCCAGGCCTCGAATAGCAGGCTCGCTCATGGGCATCGGGTACTAACATCTCTACATAATGAGGTACACAGTACCCTCCCTAATCTCCCCCAACCTCTTCCGTGTCTTATTCGAAGGGACTCTAGACGCCCCCCCACTCTTCACTGTAGTCTATTGCCTCCTCGGTCATAGCATGCTGCTCAACCTCGGAGTCCCCCTGTAACTAGCCCCCTGACCGAATGACGCGACAGTGACCAGCACCCTACTTGAGGTGGACTCCATTTCAGAAAAGGACTAAGAACGCAATACAAGTGATTTTCTATGAAAATACCTGCGGGAATAACTACGCCAACGAAATGGCGCCGAAAAACCAGAGTACAAATGCTTCCACGTCGGAAAACTTAAGCTTTGGAAGAAAAATCAGATTGCAAAGGTAGAAAATTCACAAAAGTGGGGGTCTCTTGCCTTTTATAAAGGGCCACGACGAACCCCAACCGTCTGATCAAAGCCTATCCAATTTGGACCCTTCATTCTAAATCAAATCCGAGGCATAGAATTCAAACGGTTTTTCAAACCAACGCCTTAGATTTAAACGTGTCTCCCACGCACCTCCCCCAACACGTTTGCTTCTAGAAGCTCCATCTATTCTCATGATTACGACTTTAATTCGACGGCAGCAGGCGCCTTGAAAGTTGTAACGGTTCAGCCACCTTTTCTCGAAAATATGCGCAAAACATCAAATCATTGGCACAACTGTCGAGGAACAATTATTGTCAATGTGCCTCAGATTTCAGCCATAAAGCCTCGTAGGTTCGATTCTCAACCACCTCGGCTTCCTCATTCAGCCATAAAGTCTCGTAGGTTCGATTTCCCAAACCACCTCGGCTTCCTCTTCATCATTCAGCCATCAAGCCTCGCAGGTTCGGTTTCCCAACCACCTCGGCTTCCCCTTCATCATTCAGCCATCAAACCTCGCAGGTTCGATTTTCACCAACCACCTCGGCTTCCTCTTCATCATTCAGCCATCATGCCTCGCAGGTTCGATTTCCCAAACCACCTCAGCTTCCTCTTCATCATTCAGCCATCAATCCCCGCAGGTTCAGTTTTCCAACCACCTCGGCTTCCTCTTTATCATTCAGCCAAAAAGGCTCACAGGTTCGGTTTCCACCAACCACATCGGCTTCCTCTTCATCATTCAACCATTAAGCCTCGCAGGTTCGGTTCTCAACCACCTCGGCTTCCTCAGTAGAACACCATAGCACATTTCTAACTCCAACCATGATATGAATATCTATACTTGGATTTGGGGGAATATTATTTGGGGTTCAAATTTTTTTTTTATTTAACCAATTGACTTTACTTCACCGAAGTCCTCGCATTACATAAATGACTATACTAGAACTTGGGGGGCTATTGTTACGTGTTTGTACACTTGGGCAACCCACCGGGGCCCACAACCAACTCATGACGAACCACTTGGCACTATAGCCGAGGTGATTTGCATAGACGAGGCCCTCCAACCGAGGTCGACAGATGCCTATGCCAATATATGCCGAGGCCCATATATATTAGCCTCTTCTGAAACTTCTGAGGCCCATATGCCGAGGCCATGTGAAAGTAGCCGAAGCCCTAAAGCCGAAGTAGAAGCCTTCGAACCATAAAGGAGCCTATTCCATGATCACTTCTCCCAAGAGATCTTCTGCATACAGATCTTACTTGAATGATTGATATGACGTTTGTCATAAGTATAAATGTTAAGTCTTATCACTAGTATAAGGGTTCTGCATAGGCAATAAATGCTCAGTAAGCTAGCTAATCAAGGATGATGCCTAGGATTAGACGTTTAAGCTAAAGAGATGAGGTCACGTACCACCTCATTCAAGGGCTATCATTTCATATGTAACACTATAAATACTCCCCCATGTACCCCATAGAAAGGCTAATACAATAATCAATACAAGAAACCACACTTTACTTTCTCTTTCTTATTATCTTGTAGCACAATACGAATTTACGCATATTTACATACACATTCACAAACACCGATTGGTAATTATTGTACAATCGGTCCACGAACAATCCCGCCGGATTCTGAATGCTTTCGTCCCACACCCTTGATCTTTCCGTTTTAGATCATTTACGTGTCTTAGCGTGTTGGACTTTTGCTCACATATGCGCGGGTGGGTCCGGCATTTGTTGACAACATTTTTTGAGGTCAACAAATCACATACCCATGTCCACCATCGTTAGATCTGTGCGCTGCTATAGCATCCATAGGAAAATCAAACTCGAAAGTACGAAGAACAAGTAGATTTATCGAGTTTGAGAGGTAGTGTTGAGTCACAATAGTAAAGAAAGCTTTATGTGACTCAAAAGACATTTGAATAACATCACCATTCTCTCTTTAATGTTCACCGTGCTATAAGTTAGACCAGCATCTAAGCGATAGAGTGGCTATTAAAGCATTGAGAGTTTGTTTGGTACAGCTAAGAAACCAATTAAAATCAATTTTTAACCGTTATTACATTATTACAGTTTTCATTTTTGAATTATTCTCTCATAACTAAGACTCAATTTATCTCTAACGATAAAAAAATCAATTTTCAAAATCCCTACTAAACAAGCACTGAATTTGAATCCTATTAAAAGGTCAAAATAAGTTGAATTAGGTAATTTGACTTCTTCGTTAATAATTAAAACGGAATTAAATTGCTTCTAATTCTAATTTATAAACAATATATAATTCATATTCCATAATCCTCGAGATCCTGTTCAAATTCGCATGCATGAATGGAATGTAAATCAATGAAGGTCAATTTTCCATTTTAGATCTTTCAAGCAAATTATACGTCAATTTTCACGAAAAAACCCTATAAATAAAATTGAGAGCCACGATTTTCAAATTATCTAATTCAACTTCTAATTGCTCCCAATTGTCTACTAGCAATCTTCAAAATATTGTCATGTGGTCGAATCAATTATTTAATATTTGCAATCTAGTCCTCAAACTTTAGACTTCGTCATTTTTCACCAATTTTTGCTCTTTCTTTCAACTCTTCATTCAGCCATTGTGTTTTATCCTATATAACATAAAATGCAACAAATTAGGATATATTTTGTCAAATGAACTATCAAATACCACTATTTTACACTCCGAATAAGGGTATAAAATACACTCATCATTGGTCAAGTTGCACAATTGGCAAAGGACAAATCTTTGTTAAACTATCACGTAACTCTCCCATTTCTAACTTTGAAAAACTAAATTTTGTTTCCCAACTTGAAGTGGCGCCTAGAATTTTGAAATGATGCATATTTTTATAAGGATCACATGACGATTTAACCTAGTTTTAAATGTTTACTGTCACTTTGAACTAACTTTGAAACTAAAACTAAAAGTTAACTTGCTACTTAAACAATATGTTGAGTACCAATTCCGCAACTTTCCCTAAAAACTATTAATAGAACTTTATTCGTCGTGATTAGAGTAATGGTTTATCCTTCAATCTTGCTTGCAATGGTAATGTATCCATTTATGACATGCAACCAAGAATTATGCATGTGTACCCTCCTATCCTCTGGAAAAAAGCATGCTTCAAATAAGCGATTAAAAGAGAGGGATGGGGCACAAATAATGAATTTGGATTTGGATTAGGATTAAGAAAGATAGTTTAAGTTGTTATACGATTTTGTAGGAATTGATTCAGATTAAGGAATGTAGTTTTTCTTTTTTGTGTTACATTGATCAAGTAACTCTTGCATTTAGGATAAATAATAGCAATAAAAAAGGAAAAATTGCATCCACGGTTTTCAATCTGTGCCCTTGTTTGAGCCTCATTTTATCAAAAATTCATTCATTCTTCAATAAAATAAATTCACACAAAATCGAATTTTTTTTCTTATTTTTAAACTACACATGCTCCAAAATATATTATTCCATAATACATTTTTTCTCCCAAAATGAGGCTCAAACAAGGACATATGTAAATGTAATATATAATTTTATTATTATTATTATTTTAAAGTGAACAGATATATAAGAATGGTGCCAAAATATATTATTCCATAATACATTTTTTCTCCCAAAATGGGACTCAAACAAGGACATGTGTAAATGTAATATATAATTTTATTGTTATTATTATTTAAAGTAACATATATATAAGAATAGTGCATGAAAATAGGTCCCTAAATAAATATCAGCTAAAGGGCATACACTTAACACCAACTTCTTCTTGTTAAAAAATTAATGGCTCCAAAGTAAAGAATAGTTGTTTTCCCATTCATGGCACAAGGCGATACCATCCCTTTCTTGTCAATGGCACTGAAACTTGAGCATGAAAAGGCCAATGAAATAACCTTTACAAACACCGCTCTCAATATCAAGGAACTTCAAGACTACATCCCTAAATTCTCAAACATTCGAACTAGTAAAAATCCCTTTTGACAGCACAGAACATGGCCTTCCTCCGAACTCAGAAACCACAGAAACTCTCCCTTTACAGCTCATGCTATGGCTTTATCGAGCTATCTCCTTCGCTAAAATCCAACTTCATGAATCTGGTTTCCAGTCTCGTGGAAGAGGATAATGGTATGTTGTCCCTGTGGATTATTTCAGACATGTTTTTGCCTGGTCAGTCAAGGTTGCTCAAGAGTTTGGAATATTCCATGCAATTTTAAATGCTGGTGGAGTTTATGGCATGGCTGTTTGGCACAATACATGGTTGAATCTTCCCCATTTGAAATCAAACACAGAGAATTTTTCCTCCCTGGTTATAGGTTTAAGAAGGAAAATCTGCCACACATCTTAAGAGAATGCGAAAGTCCTTGGAATTTGTAAATAATGTCCGAAGATTGGTTAAAGACTGATGCAATGTCGTTCTACACGATGGAGGATATTGATAACACAGGCTTGAAGTATTTCAGGGAATAATTCCCGAATTGTTCAGTATATCCTGAAGGGCCAACTCTTTCATCTGCAGGTAGCAAAGCACGCGGAGGGGAAGCAGCAGAAGCAATATTGAAACATTGCATGAAATGGCTGGATGAAAAGGAACTGACCTCAGTTCTTTCTGTGGCCTTTGGGTCACAAAGTTCTCCCTCTGAAGCTCAAACGTATGAATTGGCCAAAGCGCTTGAGGCTAACGTCAATTTTCTTTGGGTTGTTAGGACACCTTCAGCTGAAGGTTTTGAGGAAAGGATTAAAAACAGCAAAAGGGGTTTACTTCAAAAAAAGGGGCACCCCAGATGGTAACTTTGTCCGACGAATCTGTCAGTGTATTTTTGAGTCACTGCGGATGGAATTCATATGGAATTCATATATAGCCAGTATTTATGATTCTGATACTGATTTTGATAAAAGCCAAAAACTGGACTGAACCTCACCGTGCTCAAGACTACTGGTAGGATTCTGATTCATGATACAGCCAGCATTACTCGAGCTATGTTGAGTAATGGGAAACTTTAGTTGATCCATATGACTGCAGTTTGTTAAACCTAATAGGTCCTAATTGGAGTAAACTGAAAACAGGATCCTTTCTATAGAAGTTTATTCCTTTCCAGCAGGGGCAGGACGAGGAATCAGATTCAGTAGGAGGCAAGACATAAGTACGGAATTTTTTTCTACTAAAGCAATAGCACAACAATGATTAAATTGTTTCCCTGCTACCAAGTCAACAAATTAAAAATTTAGAGTTGGTACAATGATATTGATTTTTTTTTTTTAGAAGTATACAGACGTGGTCAATTTCAGGATATCGATCTCTATTTAAAAGAATAACAAAACTATATATGACATTCCAAAGGATAACTAAATGTGCTCATATAAATTGTACAAAAATATCAAAGACCACAACTTGATCTGTCAAAGAAAACAACTATTAATCAAAATTAGTAATTTAAATGAAGAAAACTAGACATGAGGCGTGATGACTCCGAATCAGTCTGCTTTGGCTAACGGTATCAAAGGAAAATATTAAAATATTAAGAATTTCAAATAATCCTGATGTTCATAAGAACAATAACCGCCTCTATTATGTTCAGTCAATCTTGTATTCATTCAAAGACTGTCAAAACAGTACTACTACTAGTAGATTGCCACATTTGGCAATCTACATTGCTTATTTACATGTAATAGTCAAATATATCTGGGATTACAGGGTACTGCTAAGAATAACCCAAAGAATGATGATTCTGATAACTAAGCTTGCAGCTGAGTGACTGAAAGAACTACGAAGTAATAGTTGAATTCATAACTTACCATCTAAACATCCATAAAATACCAAATCCAGCAACAAATCCAACTGGAAGGAAAATTTTCATCCACCTCCACAGATACCATGACTTCCCTGCCCACTAAAAAATTGGCATTGTTCAATAATTACTAGTTACTACACACTGTATGTGTGAGATGGAGAATAGGTTACGGAAACATAATCTAAATTGTGAACAACTGACTCACAATCTAAATCCAAACGGAGCAAGTATGGCAGCTTATGACGCAAAGTACTTCATCAGTTCATCAAGATCAGCTTCATCAACAGCAGATCCTGTGCCATCAATCTCAAGACTAAATGGACTGTATCCTGCATAGCCAGGTGAAAAGCTATGGAGAGGAGATGGAAAACGTATGTCTACAGGCCTATCTGTCTCAGGCGGAAATGGATCTTTCACATAACGAGGTAACTCTCCACCAGCAACAGCATTTCCATTCCTAGGTAGCATTGGTAAATGGATACCAGAATCTCCTTGTCTGTGCTCAATCTCATTATTTGCTGCCTCAGATTGCTGTCCTTCATGATTTAAACCAACCGCTTTTGACTGGTTAAAGAAATGATAAGTTGATCCATCATGAAGCCCAGAATTCTGAGATCGCAGAGGTAGAGTAGAATCTTAAGGTCCAGACTGCCATACAGTTGGAGCTCCATGACGCAATTGCAGGCTTTCCAGTTCATGAGGCAACACAGAACTTTGAGGTTTTAAGTCCACCTTAGAAAGATGAGCAGGCAACTCAGTATTTTCAGGTGCATGAATTAACTGAACATCACGATTTTCAAAATCAGAAATTTCTGCATCTGGATAAAGTAAGGATCCATCAGTCATTGGCATAGTTTGAGTGGTGATTGGATTGGCAGAAGGAAAGGCACAAAAAATGTCATAATCAGAATCCAGAAAACAGGGTTGATCTTCAGCATTATTCCCCTGGGGCCTCATCGCTTTTATTCCATCATTTTCCAGCTGGCTTTCATTCGTCAGGTATATCGGTAACTGGATGTTAGAGGGTCTCTCACCCATCAGAGTGTCGTCGGGATCATCATGCGGACGTTCATTGAGAGATGGTACATCCCGTTTGTTACTACGGCTAACTTTTCGGGATTTTCTTTTCCGGGATCGATCTCTACCTCGCTCCTTCTCTTTGGCTGGTGGAGGAGTAACATGAACAGGAGGTTCAACAGGCACAACATCCATTGATTGTTGTTCCCTATCATCTCTTGATGTAGCAGATCCTGGGCCATCATCAACATCATAGTCACTACCACTGCTGAAAGAAGGTTTCCTCTTTTCACCACGGCTTCTTGAAGGTGCCTCGATTATGCTAGATGAACCATTATCACAGCTAGGCTGCCGGATGAAAGCTTCCTCCTTGCTCAAAACACCCAACCAAATTGCACTCTCTTTGGCAGTCATCTTGTCCTGTAAACACTTCGACTGCCTAACAAGTCTCCTAATCTTTGCAATATCAGGTGACAAGTGCTTTATAACAGCAGTTAGCACCCCAACTTTCCACATCTTTTTCAGATCATGTGGCTTCTTATATGGCGGAGTCTGACCCTTGGGCAATCCCAATCTTGTCCACCATTCCTCATTTCCAGTTGGCCACCAAGGTGGAGGGGTGCCCTTCTCAAGTGGATACTTCCTTTGCGGTGGATTGCAATGTTGCATCAGGGAAGATAGTAGCGAACCCAACGTCGCATCTTGCAAGTCTGGAAGCACATTTTTTGAGGTTCCATTATAATAACCACAACCATCTTCCCTGGCAAGGCACTCAGCCTCATATTTAGCAATGGCTGCAGGCCCATTCTTGTCAAACTTCACTTTTTCCTTCCACCAAGCTCTTATATTATCTGATGAACCGCTAACCGGCTTACCTTTCTCAGGGATAATACCGTACACAAATCCACGAGCCCTGCAAACTTCCATGAGCTTCAACATGTACTTCAAAATCCCATCTTGAGCTCGTGCCATCTTCTTCCGGCGTGCCTGATCAGTGGTGGACTTGACTTTCTGCTTCTCTGCTGCTTGCCGCGCTGCAAGCTTCTGCCTTTCCTTGATCCTCTTGAGTTTGACTTGATCCTTCCACATTCGCCTCTCCAATTCTTCGGGTTCAATCTCCTCATCACTGACATCTTTTTCCTCTATATTCTCACCACCCACTATATCATCAACTTCGATGTCCGAGCTGTTGTGCAATGTATCACAACAATCTCCATTTCAAAACAATTAATAACGAAAATTTAAAAGAAACCAGCAAACATTAAAACACAATCAAACAATTCCAATCCTGTACTTGTTCAATTTCAATAGAAAATAAAAATCGTCAACAAACCATGAAAATATAAATATCTGTAGCTTGAATTTCTAACCATTTATTAACATAAACAATTCACATCCAAGCCTGTATGTTGGATTTCTAGCAATAATCAAATAATACAGGAACTACAGAGCCAAAAAAATATAAAAATTAATCGAAACAATAAAATTCAAAGAAAAGGAAAGGCTAACAATAGTTTCATCAGCCCAAAGTCCAGATCACCCCCTCAATATTTATTAAAATTATTCACGTCAAAAAACAAACTAATTCTCAACATCCACGGAGTTTAAGAACATATCAATCAATCTTTTCGTATGGGGTACATAGAAAAACTAAACAAAATCAGACCTGATATCCATTCCAATATCTTCCATTACAGCCATCTAATTTATTCTTTTCTCATGCCCACCTGAAAATCCCTTCTCGGAATCTGGATTATTTCTGCGAAGAAAAAGGGGGCACAGGGCAAAAATCAGAAAGGACAGAAAAGGATCGACAGAAATGAAAATTTCGAAAAATGATTTATTATACGCAAACAAAAAGGTGTATGTATATATGTGGACTGTGTCTCTCTCGGGGAGAGTGATTTTGCTGACGGTGCGAGAGGAACCGTTCATGTTATCCAATTCTCTACGGTTTGAATTAAAATCGTCTAGTTTAGTCTGTTTTTAGGTGAAAACGATAATTATGGTTAGTAAAACAATATTTTAGTAAACTTTTTTGCTTGAAATATTTATTTTTATTTTTATTATATGATAACTTCATTTTTGATATAATATTTTTTTTAGATTATAAGTTGATCACATTTTATTTTTAACTAAATTCTTCGTTACATTCATAATATTTATTCACTTTTTAACTACAAATTTTACGGAATTTACGAACTTAGAGTCTCAAAAAACTTAATGAAATTAAAACTAAATAGATAATTTGATGCAAAATGTCATTGGAGCTCGATAAATATATTATTTTTTTAAATCCAAAAAGTATAACATAATGGGGGCAGATTACAGAAAAAAAAGTGCTTATTGAATTTTAATTAAAAAAAGTGATTATTTTCAAAAAGTTGACGCAGTGAAATTACAAACGGTTCAACGATCTTGTATTGTCCCGGTTCATTGTTTTGTTACGTAAAGCAGTGGGATGAATAGTGTGGAATGTCCAGATACAATGAATGTGGAGGAAGCATGCATTGCTCCCTATTGCCAAATCCGATTTAAAGGGGTGATATTGACTTTTCGTTAAGAATAATGTTATCAACATTTTTAACTTATATATAAAAGTAAGAGTTGAACGTGCAATTCTTTTTGTTAAGAATAATGTTATCAACATTCTTAACTTAATATATTAGTCAGAGTTGAAATTGCATTGTACATTATTCTGAAATACTTTAAAAATATAGTAAAAGTAATATTTGATATTAATTTGTTGAGAGAATTTGATGAGTGTAAAATGAACTAAAGAAAATAATGTTTAGGATAGAAATTTAAAAGAAGAAAATTGAAATCTCGAAGTTCAACTTCCTTTTTTCCAATTTTTTGTGATAATGAAATATTGTAAATGAAGAGCCTTTCTCTACTCATTTGATACATTAGAATTAATTATGAATATATGAATTTAAAAGCACATTAAAATTCTTGGATTTGAGAATAAATCTAGAATTATGTAGACCAAGATTCATTAAGCCCCTGTTTGATTTTTATATTTTTTGAAAAAAAATATATTTTTAAACAGTATTTTAACATCATTTCGATCACACATTTTTCAATAAAAATAATATTACACTCAAATTCAAAAATTTTTCTTATTTTTTAATTACACATTTTCCATCAATACACTATTCAAAATTCATTCTTATCAAGATAATGGGGCTCGAACAAGGGCTAATCAAGATTTATCGAGTCTACATTAATGTGTATGTTAATTAATCGAGAATTAATAACATGAAAATTATATATGACAATGATTTTGTAGTATTTATTATATATTAAAAAATGAAAAGGAAATTATTCTTGAAATAATTAAATTGTAGTAGGGTTAAAATTGTAAGAAAATGATTATCATTTAATGTAATATTTAATATATTAACATTAACATATATAAGTTATCAGATTCACATTTAAGTAGATTTTAAATTACATAATTTGTAGTTTTCGAACTTATAAGTTAGTATTTTTGACCAAACATGCCCTTAGTCTATTGTTTTCAGATGTGCGAGCCACTTTGATTAATTTGGTTTCTAGAGCATAGGCATAGGCATTATGTAAGCGGTCCGATTTTACCGATTTTTGACAAATTTTCAAATTAAACCTTTTAAACCGGTTTGAAAAAAAATTCAAACTTAAATCAAACCATTTTGAATAATTTGGAAAAAACACAAACCTAAACCTAACAGTTTGGTCCGATTTTAAACCGTCGGTTTTGTCATATATTTTTTTTCCGTCTATTTTTTATGTCATTAATTAATTAAATTCAATATATATTTATATTTTACTAGTAATAAATTTAAAACAAATTAAACCCCGGTTTGAAGCAATTTTTTGGAACAAAAAAATGGAAATTTGGACCATCATCCGACAAGTCCAACCGCTTTTGTTGACCTGTTGTTTCATGTGTGGGACCCAACCTCATCTCCAACGATCAATTTTCTCGTTATGATGATATGAAAAATATGGCTCAAACAGAGACTAAATATATCTACTATAAATTTAAATACCAACTAAATCAAAGAAAATTTATAATAAATTAAAACATAGTTTTTTTCACTTTTGTTCATCTTTTTTAGGCTAATGACGATATAATAACGTTACAATATAAGTCTATTAAATTAGATATAACGGCCAAATAAATAAAATGATGTCCAATAAGATCTCGTGATCATCATATCTGAAAAAATGATACTAATTAGATAAAGAAAATAATCAACCACAATAATAAAATAATTGTTTATAATATCTAAACATAACAATTACACAAGTTTACGTTTGTATGATGCTACGAAACGCATTTAATTTCAGATTCTTACCTTAGTTTGTTCCAAAAAAATTATTGATCTGAAACTTTTTTCGTAGCAAATATTATCACCGAATGT